TCATTGTCAGAACTATGTTAAAAGTTTGTTGTAATCAACCCAAAGATTCTTTTTGGAGTATGCAAAAACTTCTGGGATGATGTTGTTAATTCCTTAACTGGGCTGACACTATTGCAATTCACCATTTTATGGATTTCCTACCAGATTCTACGATATAAATAGATTTAGTTAGAATTTTCCATTTCCAAGTATCCAGCTGCCTTAACTATTCTGCCAGATATATTTTGAAATATTTCTTTGTGTACTTTCTTGACAGTTGGTTCTGAATTTGTCTTTGCTACTGTGAGATTGTTCCACTTGCACTGGCATCACTAATTTTAAGTAATGTAATGGGCTTATCTTTCCCCAAATAGTGATCATGCTTCCAACTCCTAAAAGAACTCTTCATCAATTGGACTTTTGAAATCTTGAAACAGTTTATCCAGTCTTATCCCAGTTCTCAAGTCTTTGACTCCTCCATAATGACTTGAAAGCTTAAAGTGACTTTCTTTTGATGTTTTTGTTGCTGTCACCAAGTCAAAGTTTCTACTTGTATAGAACCATAACAAGACAGTGCTTTACACAAACATTATAAAGCAGGATTTGGTGATACTACGGCAGATGCCCAACTGTGATCAAAGAGGTAGGTATTTTAAAAAAAAAATGTTGAGAGAAAGTGGAGGTGGTTTGTGGAATTCTACAACTTGGGACTGAGGAAGCTGAAGGCACGGCCACCAGTGATGGAGTGATTAAAATGAAGGAAGAGGCTGCAGAGCAATTTGATAACACAGATAAGAATTTTAAAATTGTAGTGTAAACTCAGTGAGCACATGGTTGAATGGACTCAATTATGTCATCAACTTGTTCAAAGATATTACTACACATTGCTAAAAGCAGGTTGGGGGTTGAACCCACACCTCTGGCTCAGAGGTAAAAATGTTACCTTTGTACCACCAGACCCCTTAACTCATGGTTGAGTGGGACTAAAGACACAGGCAGGTGTGCAGTGGTTAGATGTTAGATACTATTTTGTGCAGAGTATGTTGCTTTATCTCTCACCCTAACTCTTCCAAAAGGTTATGGTGATCTGTTGTTTTGAACACTGCAGACCATATGCAATGGATACATAATAGAACTGCAAGATAGCGAGTTCTAGGATTTTGATCCAGTTATAGATGCAATCATTTCCACTTGTCCATGTTAAATTTCATTACTAGCTTATACACTTCATCTCTCTCTTTTTTTTAAGTAGGTCTTCCATACACAATCACCTGGTTTTGGTTTATTATTACCTGAGCATTTGAGCAGTTTGCCTTGAGACAAGATGTGCTTCACACGTTATGCCATGGCTTTCTTCAGCCTGAAAGGCACTTTTAGTCAATATTAGTCAGTTAGATCCTCCTGCTGAATGCGTGGATTAAAATTTATTGACACAGACCTGTTTGCGGCCACGGTGTGAGCATCCTCCTTTTAGATTCCTGACCAATTTTCTTCTCAAGAATAATGATTCTGATCTGTGCTATGTCAAAGGACAGTTTCTACTCAAAGGGGCGCCAGTGGCTTATTTCAATGCTGTTTCCTGAGAGGAATTGAAAGAGATGAAGGAAGGATTTCCCACCCTGGTCTCTGACTCTTTCCTGGAGTTCATACTGCTAGATCTGAGGAACTGAAGTGCTGTTTCTTGAGTTGAGGAAGTAGTTTACACTTCAAACCAAGCAGGCTAGATTGGAAGTGAGCAAGGATGTGAGTAGTAGGACTTTGGTGCCACAAAAGATTAAATAGCCTCATGATGGCTGGAAACGTGATTGGCATCCTGTTTCCAAGTGTCACACCCTTAAAAACTAAATTCCCCAGCATTTTCTTCCACAGAATACTTCAGACCAATACACCACACAAGTCTCATTCATCACTATACACCTCTTCACTTGCAAATCTGAGCAGCCAACAATTATAGTCACCCCATCTTTTTGCCACATTACACTCGTGCCTCTGTCACCCGCCACGTGTTTTCTGTTCTATTCTTTCCGCACAATCCACTTCTCCTGTTTGTAGCTGTCTGCTTTCTTCCCATGTATTAGAACAGAATGCTGCACCACAGGAAACAGCAGAGAATGGGGGCAAGGTGTGGGTTTTCAGTGGCAGTCACCTTGATGGCTGATGGAAATTCATGCCCATTTGGTCCACTAAAGGAGATCATTCTCCAAAGGGCTGCACATGTCAGCAACAAGCTGCCAGGAAAGCCTGAGCCTTCAAAAGCATTGATGCCCTCACTTGCCGAGAAAGTTGATTCTCTGCTAATAGACCTTGTGTAGGAGTGATCGCTGCCTTCGTGCTGGAGCTCTGTGTGTATTGATTTTAGCTGACTTTTAGAGTGGCATGTGACTGAGCAAAAGGCAGCTAATACTGCTGCTGGTGCTGCCTGTCTTGTTCATCATCAGATGTTCAAGGTGGAACTACATCAGCTGCTCCTGCACTGCAGTGAAGGCACATAGCAGAGAAGATCAGACTGACATGAGTAAAGCCCAAATTCATTCAGATGATTTCTAAACATGTAAAAATCACTGAAGCATTGAACAGACAGAATAAATACTGTGAGCACAAGGCAAGTTAGCATCTATGTTTTCAGAACTCTTCATTTCAATGATCAGTTGGTCCCCACTTTGCTCTCACCTCGTTGAACCTGGTGAGTTCCATGCAGCTCATGAAACCCATGCACATGATTTAAATTCAGGATTTCAGTCTCAAATAATTGAGTCATTAAATATTTAAATGACCTGAGCTTCATGAGGAGTGTCCAGGTTAAACCTGGAAATGAGCAATAGCATCAGATAGGCGATCACTGCTTTTTGGTCTTTAAACCTCACTCATACTTGAACCTGCCCTTCATTTAACGATTAAAATTCTGCCTTTTACTTGCCAGCAGAATAAGGGTGAATCTTCACCAGGTCAGATCAGAATATTTTTCTTTTCATATTTTGGCTAGTTGGAAGATGCAAGCTGCTGGTACACTGACTCTGCATCTATTTTTTTCTTGTAATTACCACAGGTGGACATATGGACCAGGATAAAGTGGTAGAAATAAATTATGTGGTACATGGTTCAACATGAATTAAAAAGAAGTACGTGTGGTGATGCCAAGTATATCTTCAAATATAGGGTCAGACTTTATTTAAGGACCAGAAAATTGCAAGAAACTCACTACAATTGACTGTGTAGCAGCTTGTGGGATTAGATCTATAGTTGTGCCATAGGAAACTAAATTAAATTAATTTGATTTTCTTTCCACTTCAGTTTTCAACCTTTTTAAATGGGTGATGATCGCTAGCGAGAATGGGACAGTCAGCCTTTTGAGTCTCGATTGGAAAATCATCACTAGCAAAATATAGTCCAAAAAAAATAGGCAGAGTGCATAAACAGATGTGATGTAGTATAAATACAAAGTGATACTCATAAGAGGGCAGGTTCAAAAGCTGTGGGTATGAAATTTTTCCAGTGACACAGAGCAACAATAGCTTGTGGAACAACATTGCAGAATTCAATGTGCCCTGCCTGAGAAATAAGCATGAAGATTTGAATCAGTCACTAAATAAAGAGGTGTATTTTGAACTAATTTAGAATGACTAAGAGATACACACAGTCATACATCTGTGCCTGTGAGGCCTCTGGAGAACTGTCAAAGACAGAAATGGGAATGACAACAGAAACTGGTTACAAATAAAACATGGCATGGTCTTAAACCAATTGTGCATGCTTATCTTTTGGCAGAAAAGAAAACTAATTGAACATGATAAAGTGTAAAGTTAATTAACACACAAGTTTGTTGATTACCATCATAGGATTATATTGTTCTTTTTGCTACCAGCCTTCTATCCCAGCTGTCTCCCTTTTCAGAAAATGTCATTGGTAAACAATAGAGACACCATAACAAGTCGTAAATGGCTCCAGTGACAGCAGCCCCTAGTGAAGCTGCATCTGTAGAAAATGATTGTATTTGATTACTTATTGAAGATAGCAGTGCAGACATCGCATACTAAGTGCCACTTCTCCACCACTTTACCTTGCACCTGATGTATCCATTGCAAAAATAACTAATATTTATTTTTCTAAATATGCTTCCATGGTCATAACCCTAATTTGGAATTTGAAGTAATCATTTTGGATTGGTACTAATCTAATTTCAAGAATTATGATGACTTGGTCAAACAGATGCTAGCATCTACCTAGCACTTAAAGTAAGAGGTGAGTATGAAAACATTGAGCTAACTTGTGTTTCTTTTCTCTAACCACAACAAAGACTAAAAACAAAAAAGAAACAGCCAAAATTCAGGCCGCTTCATACTAATCAGAAACTGTTGTTTTAAAATGGGGATTGAACTGAACCCATTAGACCACTGGAAGTTTGGTTTATGTTTTTAAAGAACTGTATTAACGGTTGAGGTTTGAAACAGAGGTCTAAACTATTCATGCTTGAAATGAGCTGCAGATTTTTTATTAGAAGGATTGATATTTCGTGAACAGATGTACAAGGTAGTTTTTATATTACATTACCTGCAACTTGAATTAATTTGACTATTAGATCATCTAGATGAATAGACTTAATTTTTAACCAAAATATCTTTCTTATTTGATCTGGTGAGGGAATTGATGTATAGAATATTTTTGTAAGGATTGGTTACTAAAGATTTATCAGCCATTTCCCAAATACAGCCAAAATGTAATTAATGTATTATTCCTTCATCTAACGTAAGTGTTTATACAACTGAAAAACTGCAGCTGTCGAAAGATTAACCAGCTGAGGAGTGTTGTCAGCATTAGTTCAGGTCTAATAAATGACACTATGAAGCTATTTATCAATCTCTCGTCCAGAATAAAGTCTTGCCCTATGATTAATAGTATTCTGTTTGCAAGCTTTGACTATGCTTGTGTAATTATTGTGCTTGTTTTTAGATAAAATGTGTAAAAGGAATGGGGAGATGAAAATAACAAATCTTTTAATACCAATGGTAATGTGATTATTTTAGGTATCGGGGCTGCACGGGCTGGCAACCTCACTTTCATGGTCGGGGGATTGGAAGGAGAATTTAATGCAGCCAAAGAATTGCTGAGCTGCATGGGAAACAATGTGGTTTACTGTGGAGAGGTTGGAACTGGACAGGTAACAAAAAGAAGAAATTATACTTGAATATGGAGCCATGTTTAATAAAGTTAAGTTCTCCCTGCTGTCAGAATCTCACTTCAAGTAGTTTTTTTTTCCTCCATGTGGAAAGTGCACCCATACTTTTACAACATAAATGGGATGGCTAAATTCATGAAGTCTTAAAGATTTATAGCATGTGCTGCTCAGTTAATAAGACTTGGTTGGGTTGGGGTATGTTTTGACTTTAGTGGCAGCACAAAATGAATAATGGTGAATCAACAACCCAATTTACACCCCACCTGAATATTTTTTCATAAAAATCTATGCAGAGCGTAATCTGGTAGGGTATGAAATGGGTTGATTTGCTGTTGACCATTTTGCTGAGCCACCGAAATGGTATTTCATCTCCAAGTGCAAGATTATATCTGAAAATGAAGCTAGTGTTTCTGAAGTAACTGGTTCTTCCAGGTCAGCTCATTTTTAAACTGCTGACAATATTTTGAATCATTGTTGTGCAATACATGTGTAATTTGTTCTGCTGGTATTTGAGTGCATGCGTCATTTCAAAGTTGTTTACCACTTTCATCCATTGTGACTTATGTTCACAGGCAGCAAAGCTCTGTAACAACATGCTTCTAGCTATCGCCATGATTGGAACTGCTGAAACAATGAATCTGGGAATCAGGTTGGTTAATTATTTCTGTTTATTTCTCTCGCTTCCTTCTGTTTGCTTGGATCATTTTCAAGTTTTGCACCCCTTTGAGAGGCTGTGACTAGTGAGGTACCGCAGTACTTGGAGTCCCAATTGTTCACGACATATATCAGTAATTTGGAGGTGAGGACCAAACATAATATTTCCAAATTTGTGGATGATACAAAGCTAAGTAGGAATGTGTTGTGAGAAAAATGTAAAGTAGCTTCAAGATGATTTCAGCAGGCTTAATGAATGGATTGGAGCACTGCAGGTGGAATGTAATATATAAAAATGTGAATTATCCACTCTTTTTGGTAGGAGAAGCAGATGTGCAAAGTATTTAAGTGGCAAGAGTTTGGTAAGTATAGATGTACAACGGGACCTAGGTATTCTTTTAGATAGATATCGCTGAAGATTAACATGTAGGTGCAGCATGCTATTAGGAAGGCTAATGGAATGTTGACCTTGATTACAAGAGGACTTGAGTCCATGAATAGTGAAATCTTGCTTTAGTTGTGTAGGAGAGTGGTTAGACCACAGCTGGGGTATTGTGTGCGTTTTTGTTATCCTTTAGTGCAAGAAAGATTAATGCCATTTGAGGGAGTGCAACAAAGATTCACCAGACTTGTTACCCAAATGGTAGGACTGGTCTATGAAGACAGATTGGGAAAACTGGGCCTGATTCCCAGAGTTTGGAAGAATGAGAAATGATCTCATTGAAGTTTACACAATACTGAAAGGGAGAGACAGGATAGATGCAGGCAGGATGTTTCTAAGTTTTGGAGTTGAGAACTAGGTACCACAATCTTAAAAAATTAAATTAAGGTTGCCTCTTAGTTCTGAGATGAAGGGAATTTTTTACTCCATGGTTGTGAAACTGTACCAAAGAGGGCTATAGAAGCTCGCTCATGGAGAATGCTTGAGGTAAGGCATCGATAGATTTTTAATTACCAATATTGTACATGGTTATGAGGATGGGATGGGGAAAAGGTATTGAATGGCTGATTGGCCAAATTTCTTTCTTACAGTACTATAATGTCCCTCTATACTTCTTGCAAATAAAAATGTCCCATGTCAATCTTAAATTTCAGCTTAGGCCAATGCCTGCAGCCTTTTACTATTTATGAAAGATTTTAAAATTTTCAGTCTGGTGTGGCTTAGCTCCTAAGTTTTTAGAATTTTGCTTGGTGCTCTCTTCACCCTCACCCCATTCATGTCCTGACATTAGAGCAAATAGTTTCTGTAGATTTCCCTTTTTTAAACCCATTGTGATTTTAAACACTGTTACACTCTAGTCCAAGGAATGCTTATTTAGGCATACACTCAGTCCTCATTATCAGCTGATTAGTTGTCTAACTTTAGTTTTTGTATTGGCTCACTCAGTCTGCATCAGTAAAACGATTGTGGTTCTTTGCAGTATATAAGAGTCATACCTGCGTGTTTTTTATGTGAGAAATTCCATGCCCCTATTCTTCGCCTCCTATCTACCATTAGAAATGTTTCTTAAAACTGCTCTCTAGTTCCTCATTTTGGGTAATTTGTTACAACAAAATTCAAAAATATACCAGTACCATGGAGGAAAAATGTCTACTGTTAACAATGAGTGGATTGGTCATGCAACAACAACAAAATAACCAACTCTCCATGACTACAATTTCTCTTGTTTGTGCTATAGTTCATTTTATTAAAATTTTCTACCATTCAGCACTGAATGATCAAGTATGTGTCAAATGAAACTGATATGGGTAAACATCAATATCCTCAGTTTGGTATTATTACACTTCTATGTAATGTCTTATGTTTATGTAATTAATATCTGTAGGTAGAAAAGACAGAAGATATTATGGAGCTTGTTCAAAATAAAACACAGCAGTGTGACAGAGTTACCTTACTGGAATTGAATGGGGTGAACCAATTTAAAGAAGATTACAAACTACCCTGTCCTTCACACTTTTGGATTAATCTTCATAACGCTTTGTTGTTACAGCACAAAACTGTTGTGTTGGTTGTAACAATTTTTAGGTGAATTTTTTTGGATGTATCAATATACTTCCTTACTGAAATGTGCTCCTAATTTGGGAACTAATCTCAATCTCCCTCTGGGACACCCTAAGAATAACTGCTGTGGGTATTGAGTATTGACATTTTGAGATAGGAGTTATTTTTTTGGATTAGTGTGAAGTGTTTTGCCTTCCAACTGGTTCTATTGTGCCAGAACTTAAACTTGGCATTAACAGTAGATGAGAAAAGTCAGAAGCTTTTCTATTCGCGCACCACCTAAAGCAATTCTAAAATACAAATGATGATGCAGTGCCAGGTCTACTTGTACAAATTACAGAATTCACAGTAAAGGGTAGCAGAGAGCAGAAATTGTTTTGAGGGTAGAGTTTCAGACCAAGGCAATACATTGGAGCAAGCAATCCTCTTGTGGTTATTGTTGCCAGTAATGTAATTGCAGCAAATAACTCCATATTCTGACAATACAAGCAGAATTTTCATTGACCAGAACAGTAATTGCAAAACTGTTAAATCCATAAGTAAATTTAGAACTGAAGATTGTAATGGTCACACATTGCTAGACCTTATTTGTATAGGTTTTAAAACAGACAAAATACGTTTCATCACAAACCTTTTCATAAATCCTTTTGCACCACTTCAAAGCCAAGGTTTGTTAGAAATTCTTCGCATTAAACAATATTGATGCTGATCCAAGGCACTTATACAAGTGAGCTGTTTACCCATATCAGTATCATTTGACACACATTTGATCATTCAGTGCTGAATGGTAGAAAATATTAATAAATGAACTATAGCATAAACAAGAGAAATTGTAGTCATGGAGAGTTGGTTATTTTGTTGTTGTTGCATGGCTGATCCACTCATTGTTAACAGTAGTCATTTTTCCCCTATGGTACTAGTATACTTTTGAATTTTGTTGTAATAAATTACCCAAAATGTCCAACTGTAAAAGCAAAAATGTCTTCACTGAGAGAGCTTACGGACTGACCCCTTAGTAGCCAGATGAGCATAGTTTTTTCATAAAATAACCTAAAGATTTGGCTGATGTGTTTTATCCATTTTGATTCTGTTCTTGAGCTTCTCCAAAAAGGTCCACAATTCTGTGGGAGAATTTCAATCCCAAACCTACTTTGCTCCAATCAATAAACTGCAAAGCTGAACTCCCATTCTAATTATTCTTGGACAGTAAAAATTCAAAGTCTCCATTTTAAGGTTCATAAGGTGGCATTAATAGTCACATCCAATCCAATTCCAGTATGGTAACTCCCTTCACATTACTGAGTTTTATTTTGAAAAGGCTTGAAAATATCTTGGATATTCTGAGGAAGGGTCACTGAGCCCCAAAACTTTAACTGATTTCTCTTCACAGATCCCGCCAGACCTGCTGAGCTTTCCCACCGACAACTTCTGTTGATTCTGATTTACAGCATCCCAGTCCTTTTGACTTTTATTTCAAAAGTATCTTCTCCTTTTTCTACCTACAGATGTTACATACACATAAGACATTACATATTGGATAGAGAAATAAAAGACTCCCAAATTTGCACATTGCATTTCTAGTCCCAACAATCTCAACATGTACTAGCAGTAAGCAGCAGTTTAACGGCCAATCTGTACTTATAGAAGTTAAATATAGCCTCTCAAATTTCTAAGTCACAACACTTGTGCTTGACGTTTATCTTATTCTACCATGTATTTGAAGCATTTTTTCAGAGGAAGATTTTAATGCGTATTAATAAATATTTAAGGTGTGAGATTAAGACATTTTGAATACAAGGAGTTGCTGTCTTTCCTGGGTTCAATTTTTGTTCTTCAATCAACCTCGCCTGCTCTCCACCATTCTCCACAATCGAAACACAAGTTTTCAATATCCAGTGCAACAACTGGCAAGAGGAACGTAACATACATATCTTTGGAAAAATGACAATTAGCACATGGATATTTAAAATTGTTTCGAATAGATAAGTTGTGATCAACTGCAGAGCTAACTCTTGGCACCCAGCATAATTGTTCTTCCATCATTATTAGATCTACCTTGAAGTTACATTAAGTTTAATTTTTAAACAACTTTTTTTCATGCCGCTTTCACACTTTCAGGAATGTATTTTTTTTCTTGCTCGGAATACAGATATATGGACACCTGAAACTGTTTGCTTAAGTCTTTCTTGTTCAGGCTCTTAAAAGAAGAAAGGTGACTGTTCAGCGAAAGCATACACACATGCGTACACTAGAAAAGAGTTGTTGTTTCAAACCCATTTTTGGTTCCATGTGTGACAGTGCAAAACTGACCATTATCTTTGCCCTTTTGCCAAACAGATGATCTGTAGTAATGATTTTTTTTTTGGTTATTGGTTATAAATGGCAGTGTTTTAAGAGTTTGGAGAGCTGTCAGTGATTGTAAAAATATATTGAATTTCTGCATTACTTTGAACACTCTATCTTCAATCCAACCACTGGCTTTTGTCCAAATATATACAACAACTGACTATGGATGGGACAAATGTCTGTAACGTGGTATGAAGACTGATTACCCGGGCATCGTTGAAGAAGGCCTAGCACTGTCTGAAGGATTGTCATAGGCGTGCATTACATCATTTTTTAAAAAGCAAAATGACAAACATTTTCTAAATGGCATTGATCATATTTTAATGTAGTAGCTTTGGACCAAACTTGCAGTTTTTTTCATTATTTCTACAATGCTTCAGAACTGTAAAATAATTCAGTGTGCATTTTGTAGTAGATTTCTTTGACTGTAACAGCAATTTTAATACAGTAGAATTTACTAGTGATAAACCTAAAAGGAGACATTTATGTTTAATTATTGCCTGAAGATGTGGTTGTTCAGCTGCTGTGGCCTTGCCTCAGATGTAAGGCCATATCTATCTATTAAGTTGTCATAATGTAACTGAGATAAAAGAGGAGTTTAGCCAGAGGAGACTAATTGGATTGTCAATATATTTTACCATTTACAT